TAACCACACTAGAAACATACCTCCAGGATAAAGTAACTCTCCTCCTGGTCTCATAACCACACTAAACACATACCTCCAGGATAAAGTAACTCTGCTCCTGGTCTCATAACAACACTAGACACATACCTCCAGGATAAAGTAATTCTCCACCTGGTCTCGTAACCACACTAGAAACATACCTCCAGGATAAAGTAACTCTCCTCCTGGTCTCGTAACCACACTAGACACATACCTCCAGGATAAAGTAACTCGCCACCTGGTCTCGTAACCACACTAGACACGTACCTCCAGGATAAAGTAACTTTTCTCCTGGTCTCATAACCACACTAGACACATACCTCCAGGATAAAGTAACTCTCCTCCTGGTCTCATAACCACACTAGACACATACCTCCAGAATAAAGTAACTCTCCTCCTGGTCTCGTAACAACACTAGACACATACCTCCAGGATAAAGTAACTCTCCTCCTGGTCTCATAACAACACTAGACACATACCTCCAGGATAAAGTAACCCTCCTCCTGGTCTCATAACCTCACTAGACACATATCTCTAGGATAAAGTAACTCTCCTCCTGGTCTCATAACCACACTAGACACATACCTCCAGGATAAAGTAACCACTTCCTGGTCTCATAACAACACTAGACACATACCTCCAGGATAAAGTAACCCTCCTCCTGGTCTCATAACCTCACTAGACACATACCTCTAGGATAAAGTAACTCTCCTCCTGGTCTCGTAACAACACTAGACACATACCTCCAGGATAAAGTAACCCTCCTCCTGGTCTCATAACCACACTAGACACATACCTCCATGATAAAGTAACTCTCCTCCAGGTCTCATAACCACACTAGACACATACCTCCATGATAAAGTAACTCTCCTCCAGGTCTCATAACCACACTAGACACATACCTCCATGATAAAGTAACTCTCCTCCAGGTCTCGTAACCACACTAGACACATACCTCCAGAATAAAATAAATCTCCTCCTGCTCTTATAACCACACTAGACACATACCTCCAGGATAAAGTAACTCTCCTCCTGGTCTCATAACCATACTAGACACATACCTCCATGATAAAGTAACTCTCCTCCAGGTCTCATAACCACACTAGACACATACCTCCAGGATAAAATAAATCTCCTCCTGCTCTTATAACCACACTAGACGTAGACACATACCTCCAGGATAAAGTAACTATCCTCCTGGTCTCATAACCACACTAGACACATACCTCCAGGGATAAAGTAATTCTCCACCTGGTCTCGTAACCACACTAGACACATACCTCCATAATAAAGTAACTCTCCTCCAGGTCTCGTAACCACCCTAGACACATACCTCCAGAATAAAATAAATCCCCTCCTGCTCTTATAACCCCACTAGACACATACCTCCAGGATAAAGTAACTCTGCTCCTGGTCTCATAACCACACTAGACACATAGCTCCAGGATA